TTCCTTCCTTCCTTCCTTCCTTCCTTCCTTCCTTCCTTCCTTCCTTCCTTCCTTCCTTCCTTCCTTCCTTCCATCCATCCATCCATCCACCCACCCATCCCTTAGCAATAGCACTTAGACTTATATACTGCTTCACCATGCTTTCCAGCCCTCTCTAAGCGATTTACAGAGTCAGCCTCTTGCCCCCAATGATCTGGGTCCTCATTTTACCCACCTCAGAAAGATGGAAGGATGAGTCAACCTTGAGCCGGTCAGGATTGAACTTCCTGGCAATACAGCACTTTAACCACTGCACCAGCACAGCTTGATTGCTTTCCTTCCTTCCTTCCTTCCTTCCTTCCTTCCTTCCTTCCTTCCTTCCTTCCTTCCTGGGATGCTTCAAGGATCATAAGTGTGAAAAACAATCACAAGTCTCTTTTTTTTTAGTGCTGTTGTAGCTTGGAACAGTCACTAAATGAACTAGTTGAAGACTATCGGGGTGGGCTTCAAAAATTTTAGCCATGGTTCTTTGCCCGATTGCTGGGTGGGTGTGGCCATGGTGAGCGTGGCCTAGTCGACCTCCTGCACCACAGTGATGGGGGGGGTTGTCCTCCCTAGGGTCCAGAGGCTTTTCTCGAGCCTCCAGGAGGGCGAAAACGACCTCCCTGGGCTCCAGAGGCAAGAAACGGGCCCATTTCCAGCCTTCCAGAGCCTCCAGGCGGCCCATTTTCACCCTCCCCAAGCCTTCGTGCAGGCCCTGTACTTACCTGGGATCCAAAACAGGCCACGTGGGGACTCCTGGGAGCAGGGTGGGGTGGGCAGGACCAACCAGGGGTGGGATTTGCCAGTCCACAGAACAAGCCAGAAAATTAGCTCTCGGTTCACCTGAACCGAGGCAAACCGGTAGCAGGCCCCCCCCCATCTGTACCTCAGAGAGGCCTGGTAGCCTAAGTATTTGGGAAAGAAATCTGGAATGAACAGAAAACTTCTTGTATTTGCAAAAGCTGAATTTGAAAAATGGTGACCAACCCCAGAGTTCTCCATAAAGCATCTTCAGAAAAAAGGGTGATAATTTTAAACCTGCTCCAGAAAGTAGCTTACATGGCTATTCTCAGAATTCTCAACTCCAGCAACCATTGTTGTGGACAAATGAGAATTGTCACTGCTTCTCAGTGTTGACAACTTTAAGATAACTGAACTTCAGATCCCAGAATTCCCAAGATAGTTGAAGTCCACCCAATTTAAAGTTGTCAGAGTTAAAAACAAAACAAAACGCTGGTTAAAGAATTTAACTTTATCGGCATTAGCACTCCAATTTTTCTATTCATTTTTCCCCGCGGATTAGGTGGGGAAGGGTAGTTTTACCTTGGTTGAGTTAAAGAGTGCACAGTGCAGTTCTCTGAAAGAAATAGTTAAAGTGATTATTGGAGGTAAAAAAAAAAAAAGGGCTGTGTATCTAGATCCAAAGCAATGATGGTCTCAGAAGACTATCAATGGCCAGAACAAGGTATGACTATAGACCAGGGGTCTTCAACCTTGGCAACTTTAAGACTTGTGGACTTCAACTCCCAGAATTTATTCTGAGAGTTGAAAACCACAGGTCTTAAAGTTGTCAAGGTCTAGACCAGATAATTTCACATTGCAGATAAAGTGGGATAGATCTTTTGGTGTATCCATCCTCCACTTCTTGGAAAATAGTGAAGTGCAAACAAAGAATACAGCAGGTCAAATTCAAGGAAGTGTAGCTACTGAATTGAAGTTCTGACTCTCACGTTTATTTTTGCTGACGATAAACCATCACTACATCTGTGTTACAGCCAAGAAAACTGTTGGGTGTTCAGAAAGTCAGGAACAGTCAAGCTTGATTTGGAAAAAATGTCATTTTTCACTTCCAAATAAGCAAAGGGAGAACTCCACCCATATGATGGACTGTTGAGGGGTTTTTTTTTACTTTTATTTCAGAATCTGGCTGTAGGCTCAAAAGCAGTAGGATCTCTACAACTGACCTACATCTCTAAGGTAAGACTAAAATAGAGTTTTGCCTCACCCCTAAGAACTTATTGTTAGTCCTGATGATTTCCCTGCATTTCTGGTCCTCATAATTCTTGTTCTTGATTTTTTAAAGAGTTCCACCTCTTTGTCTCATAATCACACCGACATGTAACTTAATAAGGAGAAACCTTGGCCAGGAGCAATAGGTGACATGTCTCATGAGCAGAGGTCATTTCATTTCTGACATGGAACTGAGTAAGCATTAAGCAGCAATAGGAAAAGTGCATATGTTTCTTAATAAGATGTATTTGTCAGAAAAGGGGATTATTGGTTAACATAAGCTAATCCTTATCCATCCAATTGATGGAACAACCTCAACCTGACTACCTCAGGTTGAGGTTTGTGATGACCCAGGGCAAGGCATGGAGGCAACATAGTCAGCTGATAGTTCCTCTTTATTACTCCAACTTTCCCCCAAACGCTCCCATTTTGATGCCAAGTCCCGGAGCAAAATACTCACACACATACACTTCTAGTAGCCTCTGGCTGTGAGTAGTCCAGCCCAACAGCTTCAAGGCAAGACATCCAGCGAGGCAAGGGAACAAGGTAATGAGTTCCATGAAGCAAAGGAACTAGGCAAGACGTCCAACGAACTCCAGACGTCGGCAACGGCACACAAAACCCCACTAATTCAGTGCTTGTTCCTGACAAGTGCCCTCCCCATAATGTCTCCTTAAGTCTCAGTACCCAGGTGCGCCTTGTGAAGAGGGTCAGGAAACCCTTCTCCTGAGTTGTCGGGTCAGCCTGTACTGTTCCTGCCTCCTCTCTTCTCTCCGTGCTCAGGGAGCTTGAGGGAGTGGTCCTTGCTTGTCACCTGAGCTCCTTCGCTCCACATCTCCACTCTTCCCCACTCTCTCGGTTATCCTGCCCCTGTTCCTCCCTGCTGGCAAGCCATCCCAGGCCCAAGGGACCCGGGGCTGCTTCCTCAATCTCTGTCAGCCTCAGCTCTGGCTCATCCTCCGTCACAGACTCAAGGTTTCGACCGGGCATGACAAGGTTCTTCACCAGCTGGATGGCTAAAGATCAGCCTATGGTAGTGAAGCTAAAAAATAAATGGCCAGCATGCACGAATTTGTTGGAACTGGTTTTTGTGATTTTATATCCTGCCACGAATTCTGTAGAGGTAGAGGTGATAAAAAGAGTGAACAAATTTATTTATTTATTTATTTATTTGGTTTGTCAATTGCTTACAAGATAATAGGAATAAGTAAAAACATAGTTATGAATACATGGATACATATATGAAAAATAAAAAGAATAAAAGAAACAATAGGACAGCGACAGTAGGCACATTGGTGCGCTTATGCACCGAAATAAGTTGAGCATAAGAAGAATTGGAGGAGAAAGTCCCAGGTCACTGGACCTGTTCTTTGGGCTGAGTTAATTATCTCACCAGCTTTCTCACCTCATTGCTCTGTAACTGGCTTCAGTTATAGTCTGAATTCTTTCTTACATCAGTGACAGTAGGTTTGGCCATCCTCTCTAGGTGCAACAGGACTGGAATGTTGATGTTGGCAGGAGAGAGAATGTTGTGCTCTCAAATTCACAAAGAGTCTGTCTCTGTCAGGGCAGGACCACTTGTTAAGTTCCAGTTAAGCTGATTTATTGCTCGTGCTTACGCACAAGAATCTGGTTAACTAATAGTCAGCACTACATTGGAGCTAGATAAAGAGTTAACAGAATTCTAGAGAGGTTGGACTGTGGGAACCTAATGACTCCAAGCTAATTCCTCTCTTGACTCCACCCCCTTTGCCTTTCCTTCTCCTATAGTCTCTTTTCTAAAACCAAGAATCAGACAACTCGGGCAAATCAAATCAAATGTTTGTTGTCAATGCACAACATGTGTACAATGAAATCATCATCAGCCCATTTCCATTTGCTTTCTTTTCAGGTCAGCGTGGCTACCCCCAAACAAAAGCCGAAAACACCATTCTGTTTTGGTAAGCCTTAACTTGGGGGAGCACTGCCTTTCACTGGACAGGCTCATTTACCTTTTGGTCCCCCTGTTGAAGAACTGGCTTTGGGGGAAGATTTTTCAAGGGTGAAAGGGATGATTGGAGCTAAAGAGTTGCTTTTTTGTCCTGTAGGCCTCTCCAACAGGCAAATGTGGTGGAGTTTGCGGAGCTTCGCTTTAAGGGGTGCTAATCTGTATGAGTGCCTCTAGCCTACAGTAATGTGTTTTCACCTGATGCCCCCTCTCCCCAATAAAATGATCAGATCTGAAAGGTTTGGTCCTGCTAACTCTGCTCTTGGAGAGCTGCAGATGAGATGCTTTGTTGCTGTGTGTAGGAGCACGGACCTTGAGTTATCCATCTTTAATGTAGGTCATTAAAGGGAGGGTGAAGATTGGAGAACACCTTGGTGGCACCCTTGAGAGCAGAACTTTGGCTTCAGCGGGCAAAGATGGGGTGCAAAGCTCACAAGTACTTCCTGGGAGGAGACGTCCAATCCAAAACACATTTTGCTCTTCAAATCCAGAGCACCGCATGGTCTTAACATCGGGGGTGGGATTGTACTGGTTTGGCCTGATTCAGGAGAACTGGTAGCTCCGAAGAACAGTTGTGAGCGAACCAGTTCACTCCAATGATCAGCTGTTGGGCCTGCCCACCTGCCCCCAGCTCTAGTCTGTGCTTTATTTCTGGGTTTTCCAGCTCAGCTGATTCACACGGCACAGTGGATTGCCGCGGATCAGCTGTTTTACACACAGGGCTTGCAGCAGAAGGTGAGTTGCAAATGTGCATGTGTGTGAAGAACATGTTTGGCGCGCATGCGCACGCTCACCAAACTAGTTGTTACACCAGTTGAGTCCCTTCCCTGCTTAACATACAGGGGGAAAGTGGACAAGTGAATTCACTTCTTACTAAGGAAGCAACATCGGTGATGTTGGTGGCTTTTCAGCTGCACCAACTTGGGAATCAAACGGAGATCTGGGCACTCTTGGAGCAGAGAGTTCTTTGCAAGAAGGGAGGGAAAGAGTAAAAAAGCTGTCTTCGAGTTGAGTTCAATTCCTGGGAGCCTTAGGGGAGACATCTTTACAGGTTTTCTTTTAAGAGTAATGAGGAAGTGGGTTACCATCTCCTTTTAAGATGATGACTTGCATAACACTGCAATCTAACTTGGTGCGTGGGATTTCCCTGTGGCTTCCTACTCAAGTGGTAAACTGGGTGACCCTACTCAGGTCAGTAAGTTGTTGCCACCTAGCTGGACTCAAAAAGGAAGCCTTACGGATATCATTTTGACCTTATGGTAGACCTGTGGTAGGTCTCTTCCAAACGAGGAACACTGGGTCTTGATCCTTGTGGCATAACGTAGAGGTGGATTTCCACAAGCTTAGCCTAGCTTTGCACAGGAAGAAGAAATTAAAGCCCAAGAAGAAAGAAGTGTTTTGTCAGAGCCTCAAGGCCTCCTGTTCTTCTGTGTTAAGGAGAAGTGGCTGAGATGGATTAGACAGTAGGATTGAAGTAAACATATCCAGACAGGAAGTCCTGGGGAATTAGGGAGGAAGTGACAGAACCACACGAGATAGAACTGGTTGACTGCCTTTGTCCTTCCCAGACAATATATTATTTTATTACTCTGATTTCTTTCTTTTTCCACCTCTTGAAGCTTTGAATAATATATTTATTTATCTATATATATAAAAGCGAAATACCACTCACGCATCATCACAAAATATCCAGAACAGTAAAGCTTACAAACTTGAAATTTGGCACGCATGTTCCTTTTGGTGTCTAGGCGCTCACTAAGAAAGGGTTTTTTGAAATGACCATCAGAGCATTAGTATTTTCTATATTATTATTATTAACACTCTCTGATGCTAAGGTGTTCTACTCCCCCTCCCCACCTGAAAATAAATCTGTTCCAAATGCAAAACACAAGCAGAGGAGAGGAGTTTCCGTTTTAGTTTCACAGCAGCAAGCAGCTTTAGTACAGAACAGTTGAGCTAAGCCTCACCCAGGCTCCTTGCTGTCTCCTTGCTCACACAGCAAATACTCTTTCACTTTCCAAACAGCCCTCAGTTCTCTCACACACTGATAGGATGCTAGCCAGATAAATACCGATGGTTGCTGGTAGGCAGAGGCAGAATTTTTTTCCCCTTATTTTTCTCTACCAAAACTAAGCCCCACCACGTAATTTCATAGCAAAACACGGGTATCCAGCTAGTTTATTTATAAGATGTATAGGCTTCCCATCTTACTTCAAGACAACTCTGGGCAGCTTACAATCATTAAAAAAAAATCAAAATGATATAAACTAACAACATAAGTGAATACAAAATCCAAAACAAGATGGCCCAATTAAAAGATGGAGAGGATGGGAGCAGGATGGTAGGGAGGTGAGATCTTTTGCCAATCGATCAATCACTTCCACTGTAATACTCCCCCATTGGAGCCAGAAGCTAACTGGCAGAACCCATTATTAGATACCCACTTGTATGGAAATAACAACAAACCTGATCTGGAAGTCAGCCTGCTAGAGAAAATTGCCGTACTTTCAGAAGCACGATCCAAACTATGTTGAAATATAAAGAGGTGTTCCATCCCCACCTTCCAAGAAAGACTGAGTAACGTCTCCACTTACTCAGGAGGCGCAGATGGGATGGCTAGAAATAGTGGGGAGGCAGACAAGTGGTAGAACAGAACGGTTGAGGAGTAAACCTTAATCGTGTTTTGTTTTGTCAAGGCGAGGAAAACATGGCTTGTTTTCAGACTCTCTGGAATAAGCGCCCAGTTCTAATAGCAACAACCATATCTAAACGAGATTGTACTTGGACAGAAATAATGCCCTTTGGAACTATGGAAGTCCCTTTGGAAAGTTGGCCCACCAATCAAAGGAAAAGTAGAGCTTGCTAAATAATAATAAATGGGGGTCTATCAAGGTTACACTTTTCTGCTCAGAGATCACCCCATTCTGTGGTTTTGGGTTCACCTCCCTTTCCTTTATTGGACAACCATTCAGTCGCACAACTAGTAGAAAAAACGTTTTCTCAATTGATGTGCTGCCACCACCTGTTTTACATTGGAATAATCTTTCTCCTTAATTCTAGGGACAGGCGAAGCATGGAAAACCTCTTCCGCCTTTCCCTGCAACTGCGTGAAAAATAGTTTTATGCAAGGGCTGGTGGATGAGCAATGAGTGAAATGAAGGGGATAAGGGCTGTTCCTAAATGAGAAGGTCATTGAGCATATAGAATATTTAATTTTATTAATGTGAAGGTCCTCCACCATATCCCACCATATATTTTGCAGGCAAAAGTTAATGAAAAAGTCAACCTGGCGTGTTCAGTGGAAATATAAACCGAATGCCCCTGGTTTATCGTTTTCTCAGGCATAAAATAATCACGCTCACAGGCATTTCCTCCAGTCAAGAATCAGCAAAGATCCTTGCTGTTAGTTTGAGGCATACAATTGGGAACTGCATCTCAAAAGGCTCGGCTGCAGCCCTAAAGATACTCCTGAAGTTATTAAATTGTCTTTTTTTTTTTATATGCCAACAGAGAAGTATTAAATGCACAATTCATTTGTTGCTTAAGTAGCTGGGCACAAGAGCTCTCTCCTTTCCTCTGAAGAACTGTGCTGTTGAATCTCGGGTGCAAAATTTGGGAAAGCTCTCAGGATCACAAAAAAAGGGCCTTTGAACGCATCCTCTGGATTTCCTGGGGTGGCGGACCATGCCGTGGGAGCTTCTTGGAGAATTTGAAACTGGTTCACTGAGTAGGGAACGAGGGAGTGGAAAATCTCAAGAAGAATATGGCTCCTTCTAGAAGCTGGGAAGAGGCTACTCAGGACAGCCATGTTCCCTCTTTGAAGTGATGCACAGCTCTTGACCATGATCTTTGTATCTGCAGTTATCAACGCCTTGTCTCAGCGGTATGTCTTGCAAGCAAATGACCAGAAAGATCTGCAAGACTGGGTGGAAGCCCTGAACACCGCCAGCAAGATTACGGTAGGTCTTCTCTCTTCACATCAGTTTGGGCTTCCCAAGCCATCTTCCACTAAAGATCCTCAAGGGAAAAGAGAGAGAGAGATCAGGTCATTTTATCTGGATGAAGGTTGTTCTCTTACTGCTGGTCTCCTTGTGTATTATTTTCAGGAATTGGATCGGCTTTGCACCAGGAATGGGGATGCGGGTGAAATTAGGAGGAATGTGGAGTATAAATTGCAAAGGAAGCTTAGATAATTAGCTCAATCAAGGCATGAAAGCTAACTGTAACCCTAAGTTAGAGTCCAGTCATGGTTGAAGCTTCCATGTGGAGAAACCACTCCTTAGGACTGTCCATGTTGTCCCTTCCCATTCTACCGGTTAGGACCGGTTCGAGTGAACCAGTAGTGCCAGTGATCATTTGGCCCCACCCATGCCCCTGCCCTAGTCTGTCCTTTATTTCCATGTTTTGTGGCTCAGCTGATTCTTGTGGCACATCGGATTGCCGTGCCTCAGCTGTTTTACTCACCGGGGCTGCAGTAGAAGGTAAGTATTAAGAGCTGAAAATGGGTGGTTTTGAAACACTGTGCATGCAAAGCGCACGCTCACGGAATCGGTTGTTATACCAGTTGAATCCCACCCCCGTGTTGTGGTTTGCCGGCAGCCTGTGCAGAGGGCAGTGGAATCGGATAGTGGGGAAGAAAGGGGATTAGTCTGGGAGTCTGGAGAGGACTCAGATGAAGGTCCTGCATCTGGTGCAGGGATGGGGCCAGGACCATCTGGGAGTGGGGTGCTGCCTTCAGAGCCTTTGGAGTCTGGGACCAGCGAGGCAGAGGAACAAGGGGAGCCTGTTCCCAGTGTGTGCGTGCACAGAACTGCCAGAAGGCAAGAGCAGCTAAGACAAAAGGGGCAACTCGGGAGTAAGACTTGGAGGGGATTGCCCCTCCCATAAGGTATAAAGGACAATCAGAGATGACGAAACCTTTGCAGGAAGCAAAGTTGTTCGTTCGGTTCAGATTCATTCTTGAAGCGCTTTGTACTTTGGTTGGTTTTCTTTCTAGTTCATTTGATACTTCTGTTATTCGCAGCACTTCACAGGAAAGCCTCTGCATAGGTGATTCAATTCCCTTGGAGTTGTTGGAGAGAAGTAGGGTTTAAAATTATTCCACTGGAGCACGGAAGGAACTGGCTGAAATAATAGCATTTTCTTCCAGATGAGAACACCCCATCAAGCAACCACATTCACCACATCACTCTTAGTTTCTTGGTACAGATACTGTCTACTGGTCCACATTGCTGTATCTGGCAACTTGGCATTTGCTAACCCCTCACGGTTACAAACAAGGACTTCCCAATGAAACTTGAATTGGGCAATCATCCTTCCTTGTTGTGGGGCTCAGTGGTTAAGATGCTGGGCTTGTCAGCTGGAAAGCCAGCAGCCCAGGTTCGAGACCCAAGCTCCCTGCAATGGGGTGAGCTCCCGTCCTCGCCCCAGCTTCTGCCAACCTAGCAGTTCAAAAGCATGCAAATGCGAGTAGATAAATAGGTACCACTTCGGTGGGAAAATTACACTAGCCAGATGACTGCGGGAATATCTTCAGACAGCACTGTCTCAATAGCCTTGAAATGGAGATGAATTCCGCTTCCTATATTTGGCAAAGATTAGAGGAGTAAATCTGCAAAGGCTCCTTCACCTTTACCTTTTTACCTGCCTTGTTAGTCAGATTGTTTCTTACCACTTCAGAATTCAAAACTATAAAATGCACGCACACTGTCTATTTTTTTTTCTTATTTTATTGAAATAAAATAAGATTACACCCCCTCCCTAGCATTCCACTCAAAGACTAAGAGCGGTCTGACCTAAAATTACACAGCATACTCCTAAGCTTTGGGATAGCCTCTGCTCACTCTCTCGCTGTAAAAAAGATGTCGAGGTTCTAGAAAGAGTGCAGAGAAGTGCAACAAAGATGGTTCGGGGACTGGAGGCTAAAACCTACAATGAACGGATGCAGAAACTGGGCCTGGCTAGTCCAGTGAAGAGAAGGACCAAGGAAGATATGATAGCAGTGTTCCAATATTTGAGGGGCTGCCACAGAGAGGAACGGGTCAAGCTATATTCCAAGCCACCTGTAGGCCAGACAAGGAATAATGGATGGAAACTCAACAAGGAGAGATTCACCTTGGAAATAAGGAGAATCTTTCTGACCATGAGAACAATTAACCCATGGAACAGAAGTTGCCCTTGGAAGTTGTGCGAGCTTCATCACTGGAAGCTTGTAAGAAGAGACAGGACTGGCATCTGTCATATATGGTGTAGGCAGGGTCTCCTGCTTGGGGTGGGTGAGGGGTAGACTAGATGACCTACACAAAGTCCCTTCCAACTCTGTTAATCTCCTGACCAGTGTTTTTGCGGCATTGAAAATCTGTGTCATCGAATGGTGACAAAGCTCAAACACAGGCAAGGCAGCTGGGCAGATTGGAGGAACACCCTCCCCCCAGAGTCCTGGCTTCTTATCTGGATGGTCTTCTCTGCCTACCTTTACCTTGGTAACCGACAACTCCACCCTGCACTTCTAAAGAACCTGGGAAGGAACATGTTCCAAATACAGAAAGGTCTTTGCAGCCTCCGTTATAACGTCTGTCTGGCTTTATCCCTACTGCTTAACGTTGTAACCTATCTCAGCCACTTGTGAAACAAGAAGTTAGACTGTGGCAGGTCTACTTCCCCTTTCTGCAGGTGACTTCCCTTGGAATTAGCCAAGCTTGACTTTTCACAATTGTGAATCGAAGAGACGTTCAGTTAATCAAGCCAAAACGGAACTGATACGTACATTGGCTGTCCTTAATCCAGCACAGGAAGTCATCATGCTCACCCATACATTTTATGTGATGCTCCACTAACCATTCATGGAGGACACAGATGTGTGATGTCATCCTTAGCTTGCCATTGGCCAGCCACAAGGACAGCTGCTGCCCTTTTGTTGTTGTTTTGCATCAAAAGTGGTGTTCTCCAACTTCTGCAATGCTTTATTTTGTTGAAGGCAGGGTCTCCACCCAGTTGGCTGGTGGACTCCATTGCAGCCACATTCCCCTCCATTCTGGTTAGTGGATATATGTCTTGCTGGCCATTTCATGTAAGGTTTTTGGGCTGCTTGGCCCCCTTCAGAAGGAACCTTCTTATAGAAAGCCTGATTATGTTTTGCTTTGCAAGCAATGTCTCCAGTCTCCACACTTGCAATTCTGCATAATTTGTGTGATATTTTGGAGGGCAGCCAGTTGGGTTCCCTTGCAAGAAGTTTAGCAGATTAATAGAGTTGGAAAGGACCTTGTAGATCTTCTAGTCCAGCCCCCCACCCAAACAGAAGACCCGAAACCATTTCTAACAGATGGCTATCCAGTTTCTTCTTCAAAGCTTCCAGTGATGAAGCTCCCACAACTTCTGAAGAAAACTTCTGTTCCATTGGTTGATTGGTCTCATTGTCAGAAAATTTTTCCTTATTTCTAGGTTAATCAGTTTGAGGTATCAGGGAGCTGGGACCAGCGTCCTATCCATTTTGGTTACTAGCCCAAGTGACAGGAAATAATAGCAAAACTGTCTACCAGTCTTCTATAAGACTGGAAGACTTCTGTCCAAAAAACCAACAACAATCCAGTTGATAAGTTGATGGCTTGGAGGGCAGCCAAGAGTGTTATCCCTCTTCTGTCTCACCAGTCTGTCAGCTTGGTATTTGGTGGAAAAAAATGATAGTCTTATAGGAAGCAGGTAGATAGCATTCTTCTTGTCCCTTGTAATCTAGATGATTGGTAGGGTTATTGCTTTCAGAAATAGCCCAAGCACCTTCCACGCTAGAGACCGATCACTTGAACAACTTCCAACTATTTAAGGTCTCTATCCCAGCATCCACCATTATCCAAACATGCTCATCTACACTTGCCCAAGTCCATCTAGACAAGCAGGTCTTCTGCTGCTAATCAGCACTGGAGAAGGCAATATCTACCTTATCTTTCTTTCCTCACAAAAACTCTATTATGCTTAATTGCCAAGGTAGAACAGAAGGCTATAGTAAACATTTAGATCATTTTGCATGATGGAAAGAAAGAAGCAGTTGGAAATGTCTCCATTCCACAACTTAAACTTGGAGTGAGCACTCTACACCTCGTGAACTTGACTGCTAGGACAATGAAAAGATTTCCCTTTTTCCATAAAACCTTGTTAGTTTGCAACGATCGTCCTAAAATGCAGTGATGACCACTAATGTGTAAGCCAGCTTCAACCCATTGCTCCAAGTCCTGGTTTGTTTAATTGTATTTTATTATATTTTGTTTATTAAAAAGAGCCAGGTTATGTTTAATAAATTCACCAAAGAAAGGGAAAAAAATTATGCGATGGTGGTGAGTTTTTATATCTGGAGAAGAAATAGACATAGTAGACCACTAGATATATCTTGCCATTGGATCTCAATGGAAGGTGAGGTGATACAATAAAGAAAATTCTACGGTTTGTTCAATGTGGTTGGCAGGCATTTGGTAAGCTAAGTATACATAAGCGCCCAGAAATTTAAAACTACCAACCCTCTCCACCTCCTCGATATTTATATACAATGGTAAACATTACAAATGGCAAGCTCAATTGAGCCCAACATTTCTGTTGCTAAATGAGACATTTGTTAAGTGAATTTATCCCCGTTTTATGACTCTCCTTGCCACAGCTGTTAAGTGAATCACCACATTTGTTAAGACCTAAGTGAATCTGGCTTTCCCATTGACTTCACTTATCTGACAGTCGCAAAAGAGGATGACATGACCCTGAGACGTTGAAATCATTATAAGTATGAGCCACTTGCCAAGGGTCTGAATTTTGATCACGTGACCATGGGGATGCTGCAGTGTGTGAGAAATGGTCCTGTCACCTTTTTTTCAGTGCCGTCGTAACTTTGAATGGTCACTTATTGAACTCTTGTAAGTTTGGATATTGGTTTTTTGCAAAACAAAGTTTTTAGTCCCTAAGGGAGAAAAAATAATAATAATATGATAATAACAGGAAGCTTGCCTTCACATTACTGAAGATGGAATAAGATGCTCACTTTAGAAGATTAGGTAATTTATGAGTCTTGGCTACTGATGCTAGCCTTAGCACAGGACTGGCTTATGATCTGAATTAGGCAGTATTAAGTCTAGTGAAAGATTTCATCCTTGAATGGATTGTGATCTAAAGGCTTTGGAACATGCTAGCAAAACATCTGAGTGTTAGCAAGAAGTTGCAGGCTTCTGGTGAGTTAAAATATTCTTTAAAAAGGAAGCTCAGATATATACATTTGCTGTAATACCAGACTCAAAGAGGACACAGACTAACCTCCAAGCGGCCTCAACGACCCTCTAGAAGGATGCAAATTACCAGCTGTCTGCAGAGGAATATAAAACCTTCCATTCCCCACTATCCAGTCAGAGCTGAAGAAGCTTCTTGGATGAGAAGTGAAATGTCTTCAAAAGAAAAAACCAGAAAATCCAGTTGCCTCCTGAAAAAGCACCTTTGAGATAAACCTAACCTCAATGACGGAGAATCTCTACAAACCACACTTGAAGCTTTCTCAAACAGGCCTCATAGCATGGTTGTGTTCCCACTCCCATCATCCCCAGTTTGGGGTCCTCGCCCATCATCTTTTTGCAGCTCCCTCATTGGCTGTGTTGGCAGGGACAGATGGGAGCCGTAGTCCAACAAATTGAGCAGATTAGAAGTAGCTGCTGTTATTTCTGCGGTACTTTATTTTATTTTTTCCACAAGCAGAAGCCACATTAATGAATGGCATCAGAGAACCCAAAACAGCCTGATGGAACTTTAGAGACATTTATTTATTTGTTATGGCGCAAGCTGTTTGGGATTACACTTCTCTTATTTTCTTCTTCAGCCCAGTATGTCGATTGAGGCTTATTACATTCTGTTTATTTGTAACGGTGCTGCTAAATTTGACAAGGCAAATTTATGACAACATCATGATTTTTGCAATTATAAAACAACTTACGTTGAGGGAATAGGAAAAAAAACCCCAGATTTTCAAAGGAAGGAGAAGAGAAGGTGCTAAGAGATAATATTGACTTTAATATGAAGATGAGCCATCTGATCAGCCCTTTGAGACTGGATTTGTCTTGAGTGACTTTCATAATTCCCTCTGAAGTTTGGTCCTATGTCAGTCTGATGACCACAGAAATTTTTCTCCCTCCTTCTGCCAGCAAGGCAGAAGAGTTTCACAACCTGTACGACGCATGCAGAAAGTTTCTTCATAACTTAAGAAATATAAATGGGCTGCAAGCAAGTAAAGTGCCACTTTACAAAGCTTTAGTATGGCTGAACTTGGAATACTGCATCCAGTTCTGGTCACCACAATAAAAAAAAGATGTTGAGTGTTGAGATAATTCCCCGTTAGGAGAATGAGCGCATACAGGGAGATGTATTGAGAGAAGTGTTGGAATAATACACACACAGCACACAGATACACTGTACAGTAAATGTAGGTTTTTACTTCCAGAAAGGTTTAAGCAAAATTCAAGATAAAGTCATTCACAGGTTAAATCAGTCAGTTTTTCAGTCCAGGGATAATTCCAATATCAAAGTCCAGTGTCAAAAAAAGTTCAGTATCAGACTTACATCAAATCCATGAATATCAGTCAATTAGGAAAAATGGAGGAATGGCAAACAGAAGGAAAAAGAGACTCACCAAGACTTCTGAGACTAAGACTAAAACAACCCAGGTTTCTGGCTCCATCTTATGGCCATTTGATGAACCACACCCAATTATACTTTGAGCATTCCCCTGAAGAGACAGTATTAAAATGTCTATCCTGGTTTATATATTTCCAACCCAAATATCTGTTAGGTGACTTACATTCCTAACATTGAGACTCTAGAAAGAGTGCAGAGAAGAGCAACGAAGACAATAAGGGGGCTGGAGACTAAAAGATATGAAGAAGGGCTGCCTTTAATACTGTAGATGAGCAAATTGATGAGCTCTTGTTTCAAAGGCATATAATTCTCTTTTAGCAGGAAAACAAATGTTACTTCTTGTTTGTATATATGCCAGAATTTCAGCCTGTGAAAAGAAAGGGCGAAGGAATCTGAATGAAATGTCTAACTGAATTTTCAAGGTTCCATCTACTTCAGAGCATTTGCAATGACTCTAGCTTGTTTCAGACATCTCTAGCAAATTGATACGGCACAATCGCTGAGAAAACGATTGCAGAAAGATGCTTGCAGATTTTGAGTTGCTACTGATTAGTTTGGGGCAACTGATGTAAATTTGCAATAAACCAGGAGCCAGGATAGACTTCAAAAGTACAACAAATGTATTTCATGTTATCTATACACAAGAACCTGATCTACTTTGTGATGAAGTAAAAAAAAAAAAAAGGAGTATGATTCACACTCTAATAGAGAAACTCCTGAAAATGGAGCTAGAAATGAAACCAGATTTTTTTTCCTTTTGGGACTAATGGAAAAAGAACTGGAGAAAAAAATTGGAATGTTGTTACTATATATGTTGACAGCAGCATATGCAAAAATGGAAGGACACTTCAATTCCCACCATGGAAGCATCATTGCAGATGTTGATGGCATTGGCTGAAATGGCAAAATTGACTATTTTGATTAAAGAAAAGAATATAAGTATTTTTGTTTCCATATGGAAACCACTTCTGAACTTTGTGCTTGATATGGAAAAGCATGAAACTCTGACTTTGGGTTTACAGATTGGACTGATAGATCTTTATAGAAATGACTTTTTCATACTGTTAGGGAAAAGCAAAAAGCTGTGATTTGATGTTAATGCCTTTTTTTACTGTAACAGAGAGAGTCAGAAGTCAACGCTTCGTTTCCTTCCTTTATTCTTCTTATCTTTCCTCAGTTCTCTTTCCCCTCCCTCCTCACTGCTCTTTTATTTACTTTTGTATTTTGAATTTTATAATACTTCATAACTTAATAAAAATGTTTTTTTAAAAGAACCTGATCTATTCATAATCAAGGCAAATTGGTGCTAAATAAGAGTCAATGGAATTGACAGGGGGCTGGGTTTAGGTCTCTTGTGAATGCATGGTGACTCCAAACTGATGATGGGTTGACCCCAGTGGTGGGATTCAAATGTTTTTACTACCAGTTCTGTGGGCGTGGCTTGGTGGGTGTGGCAGGGGGAGGATACTGCAAAATCTCCAGTCAGAGGTGGGATTTGCTGGTTCTCCGAACTTCTCAAACTTTCTGCTACCAGTTCTCCAGAACTGGTCAGAACCTGCTGAATACCACCTCTGGTCGACCCTCACCCTTGAGCTATGCTGGGTCATCTTCTATAGTAATTTATCCTATTTTTTTCCATTAGGTACCAAAGCATGGAAGTTTGTCACTAGCCACAGAAACAGGAAGACACCCATATAAGACTGAAATCATTGGAGGAGTCGTTGTGCAGACACCCATCTCAGTCAACCAGGTGAGAAAGAATCAGAATAGAATAGAATAGAATAGAATAGAATAGAATAGAATAGAATAG